ACCTAGATTTAGTCATGCGTGATGAGCTAGTTTTAATCTGCCTCTCCCTCAGGTTTCTCTTGATTACCCCCAAATACTCAAGTACTTCACTTTTAGTTTTAAATGTTATCTGCGACAGTTCGTTATAGATGATAATTTCCCATGAATTTATGTATAAATTCCAAGTTAAATAAAGTAGGTATTTGAATTTATTTTTTGTAAAAATATATTTTATAAATTTTTGCTAAGGCTTAGTTTGGAAAGAGTACAAATGCATATAAAATACAAGGATTTACACTCTACATATCTGTATTTGTACTCCATCCAAACTGAGCCTAAATGTTTAGATATTTGAATTTTATCATGTTTTTTTTTTTTTTTTGTTGATGCCAACCATTAGTAATTTCTTAGTTACTGTAACGTACATGTCGCTAAATATTAACTTTTCATTATTTTTTTCAATTTTTTGACACAAATCTTGCTTGATTCGAAGTTTCTAACCAAACAGTAAACTGTAAACACATCGAGCATTTGAATTTTGTTATTTTCATACTAGAATTTGCTCGTGTGCTTCCAAAATACCCAGAATCCTGAATAAATCTGCGTTTCTGTAATCAGTATTCTCAATTCGRTCATAGCTTTCATTTTCTGAATCTAACCATAAAATTCCCCCAAGACTTGATTTAGTTTTGAGTATCAGAACAAACTACAGGATAGAATAGGACAAATTTTCAATTTTTCACCAGAACTCAAATGCTGAACCTGAGCGGCTGAACCTATCATATGGTCTTCCTCCGCACCCTCAGATTGTTCCTATCCATTATTTGACAGGAAGCAATTCTAGATACAACTCCAACATGGTTAATGCGAGAAAAGCACAAAAGGAAAAGGAAATCAAAAATCAAAATGCACACCTAATTTCATTCCATTAAACAGAAATTGCACATGCGCTGCTTTTGTAAACCACAAGAGTGAAGGCAAAACACAAACAATGAGAGAACCTATGTAATGGAATCGATGAGAAACCTCCTTTTATACAAACCGGAATGGGAACTCTTGTTTCAATATTCTCAAAACATGCTATACTCAGATTCATTGTTCATTTGAATGTAAAAGACTATGGCTATAACAAAAATAAGAAAGGACGAAAGCTCCATTGCCAGTGCTCCCCAACCAATAACGTCAGCATGCTTTAAGATGGCCGGTATTGCAATGCTTCCTACCGCTGATGCTCCAGTCAGGAACTTTGTAGCATCAACCCAGCTGTTACAKAGGTTTTGAAAACAATAATAAGAAATGAAAAATGATCTCTACTATCTTAATTAAAATTGATTAGATAAATTTTACAGGTGAATTAACTAAGAGATAATAAAARGCTGACCTATTCCCACTTTCCAATAAAAGAGAGGTATCAGATCCCATGAAAAACATCAGAGGCATAGGAAGAAGAACATACATCAATACTGCAGAAGAAGAAAATCACGTTAGTGAATGTTCAAATTTGGCAAAGGAAATTCTTCTGGCTCATAAAGTTCTCTTGATCAGCTATTGATCAGGGAAAGGGTACAAAATTTTCCATCCAGGTTTTCAGTTGACAAACCCCAGAGAGTTCAAACAATAACCCAGAGATCTAACGACTGAAATCCTAGGGGGTTTTTGACAACATGGTTAGTTTCGTTTTCAAAAAACAAAAACTGGCACATCAGCAAAAACAAACCAATCTACCTTTTGCTTTGAAAACCAATGCACCCAGAAGAATGCTATATCCAAAACCGACTATACATCTCCACATAGTGACCTGAACTGGATTTTGTTTTTTTTTTTTTTTTGAATCATTGTTTGATTATTGAATGCCAGAAGAATGGTCTGGACAAAGAGCTTTACGGTGCCTATGTTCAAAACCAAAGATGATATATACAAAGTTGTACCATTGGATTAAATTCGTGAGCACAATGAAACTTTGGGAGAGAATAATTAAGCAAAAGTTGGCAAATATATCAGAAAAAACAAGTTGGGTTTATGCTAGAGAAATCAACCATAAAATCCATCTTTCTGTTGAGACAATTGATTAAAAAAAAGTTCAGAGAAAAAAAGAGAGATCTTCATATGATATGATGGGTCTTTACCAAGGCTCAGGCACTCAGCACCTTATTTATTTGCATCAACCATGGATGAATTGATTAAACATATTCAAGAGGAGGTCCTGCGTTTGTAGATATTTGTCTTGGTTTTCACGTCTAGTCTAGACCACCATGAAAAAAAMCTAGTCCATTTGCATTGGTGCAAAACAAGGTTCAAAGTATCAACTCGTATCGGGCTGATGCGCCCCTACAGAGGGTGTATCAGGGTTTCAACCGGCTCAGGGGGTGGACGGACCTTAAACCGGCCCCTCTGAACCAGATTTGAATAAAAAATAAAAAATAAAAGCTATTGATACTGCCCGATACGTCTCTAYCAGCGTATCAGGCGTATCGACATTTTGAACCTGGGTGCAGAAGTATGAGACTGCAAACAAGTTGAATGCAAATTTTACCTTGTTTTGTTTGTTTGCAATGTAAATGAAGAAAAATAAAACTTAGAAGAGTAAATTAAAACCTAAAATAAAAGTGAATCACAATTTACACTTTTATGGTTTGTACTTCCATTCATGTGTACTAGTGCMAAGGAGATTGCATTGCAAACAAATGGGGAGCCTTACAGAAAATTGAATTTCTAGTACGCTGGCCTTCAACTTTAAATAAGAGGACCTTTTCTAATAGTTCAAGGAATATATTATTTAAATAATTTATTGTTATCCATATTCATTTTTCTTTTGTTATTTTCCACATACAGGAAAATAATTTAGAAAATATAACAAGGCGACATGATATCAGAAGAAAGTAAAAGATCTCATAAAATATCCCTCACTAAAAGATATTCAGGGCTAAAGCTTGTGACTATGCAGGTTTAATAACCTATTACCTGTTAGCATTGGCCACCAATTGTTGTACAAAGCACATGCCTGCAACATCAAACACAGCAAAGAAAGTAAATGGTAACTTCAGAAGTAACAAATTGAAAGTGCACATCCATCTGCATAAAGCAGAAAGCCAATCAGACAGTAAGTAGTAGCACTGACCAGAATTTGCATTACAATTCCTGCAGAAACCAAAATTGCCAAGAAAGCAAGTTTTCCACTGTACAAGCAGGTGGCCATATAACCTGGTAAGTCTGCCATGATCCAAATCGGATCAAATAGACAGTTCAGCTAGATGAATGGCTAGCGGGGTAGCAAGCCTGTTGGGCAACATGTATGGAAACAGATTTCAAATAGAAGCTTAGCATTCACTCGACAAGGAAAGAATTTAAGTAGACAGGCAAGTAGAAGCACAAAATTACAGAATTAACAATAGAAATAAAAAAAAAAAAGGAATGTGCTTGTTGGACTATGGAAAGTAATTACTTTCTCCTGTAAAAAAGGAACAGTTTTTTTATTTTTTTGGTAGTCAAACTCATAGTACAAAAATCAAGATTGAGTAGCAATCGTGAAGACTATGATATTGATAATACCATTAGTGTAAATTCTATTTCCTTGCTGTATCTAGGTATCATATCTTTAAGATGCGGATATCTAACTGAAAACAAAACCACATAATGCAATAGTGGAAAATGGGGCCAAAGCCACAAAAGGGATGTAAAAAACACCATCACCAGAAAATAATGAATGGTACAACCTTGATATTAATGGTTCATGACCTATCAAAGTCATCAGATGTCCTGTATTCCAAATGACATTTGAAGAAATCCCTCTGGCCTAGACTTGGTAGTGGGACTGAAATCCTTTGTGTCCAAAACTTTCACAGAAAAAATAATAAATAAAAAAATAAAAGAGTCATATGGATTAGGCTCAATGAGCACTGTCCAAGCACTCTAAACAATTAAACATTACTAGTGTCTTTTTAAAAAATTCCACTAGTCTGGACTTTGTAGTGAAGTCAATACTGCTTCCACAATGTTATAAAACCACCATTTAAAATGAATTAAAGCAACATTTACTAGTTGACCTTATAGATGGTACAATCTCCATTATATAAAGGGCAGCTCAGTGCATGAGGCTCCCACTAATGTGGGGTCTGGGGAGGGACAGATGTATGCAGCCTTACCCCTGCACATACAGAGAGGCTGTTTCCAAGATTTGAACCTTGTCACCCAGGTCCCAGGTCACAATGGAGCAACCCAACCATTGCATCACTGACTAATTGACTTAATACCCATAATCACCTAGGATAGGAAGACTAAGCATCAACTAGGTCAGCTAGTGAACCTAGTCAACCATAAAGTCGTTTCAAAGCTTTATTTGTTTGTTTATATCTCTAATTATTTGAAATAGTACAAAAAGATGTTTACGTTTTGTTATATTCACATTGTTGCTTAAATGTTTGTGATGGAACATCATTGTATGATGGCATATAAAATAAGAAAGAAGGCATAAAAGAAAAGACACCAACGGAGGATTTATTTTAAGTTTTCTTCCAATCAGTAATGTGTTGATACAGAGTTTCCACAAACAAAAGGCACACCAAATAGTCAAAGATGCACTCTTTATTTGCAAAGGCTTTGATTCCCTATCCAACATAACTTTTTCTTTGTTTGCAAAACAAAGAAAATAAATTAAATGTTCAATCCCATTCTTTTCTTGCATAATTGTAGCCTATATCAACTTATTTATGAGATTGCATTAATATCTTAAATTTGGAATATCTTTTTTATGGACTAGTTAGCACCTAGGCACCAACTAGTCATCACATCAACTAGAGAGAAAAACAACTAATCATCACTTCATCACATTAAAAACATGCTTCTTTTATCTTCTTTGTTTCCTTCCACAGGCCCATATGTAGATGCAGGGCTGTGTGTGTGTGTGTGTGTGTGTGGAAAAAGGTTTTGTAATCAGATCAAGTTGGGAACTTCCCTACACAATCCCTCCTATGTCTGCATTCTGCCATGTCAAGTGGTTAGTTTTCTTCCACAGGCCCATATGTAGATGCAGGGCTCTGTGTGTGTGAYTGTGTGGATAAAAGGTTTTCTAATCAGATCAAATTGGGAGCTTCCCTACGCAATCCCTCCTATTTCTGTGTTCATCCATGTCAAGTGGTCCTGTGGGATATCCGGAGTGTTCATCAAACAGGGGATCCACAGCATTGGTCACATGAATAATCCAGAGCATCATCTATCTAATGGATGGTTAAGTACTTAAGTTTGGTAACAGGCTTTCTCCCTGAGATATAAATAAGTAGGGATGTCTAAGGAGCTTCCCTACTTGACCCAATTAAAAAACCTTTTATGYATGTTTCCATGCCCTAACCCATAATCATTGTCATGGAAGGTCCCTCAAGGTCATAGTAACAAATGTTGCAAATCATTGCCACTGAAAGAAGAATTCACAACCATAAATGGGGTTTTAAAAGTTATCAAAAACGGGGTTTTAAAAGGCAAAGGCATGAGGGAAAGCAAATGCCTTACAATTTAACTTTTGGTGCATTTACATACATAATGAAAAAGAAAATCGATGTTCTCTCATGAACTCATATCAGTGTTAAGTAGATTTTTTAGCTTTGGTTCTGAACAAATGGTCACAAAATCCATATATAACTGAATTATGTACCCATAAATCCCAAACAACATTTAAGTGATCATTAACTTGAATAATCTGGTATATGCTTTAAAAAAAAAACCCTTAATATGTTAAGAATAATAAAGGAAGTACTAGTTGAAAAATATTATACGCATTCCTACCATTAACAAAAAGTTCTTGTGAAGTTTTCCTTTTCTAAGAACTATGATTCCGTTCATCTATTAAGAAGCTTGCAACCTACTTAATGACTTATCAACTGAAAGACAAAGCAATAGTTCATTTAGTTCAGCCACTTCAAATGTTATCATACAGCCCCTTAGTGTTGATAGATGAAACTGCATTGTTGGGCATTTACCATGAAGAATAAACAACCTAAGAAGGGTTTGACTTGAGTTTGATGGACTGTCCAGTCAATGGATTAGGCTGTGTTTGGAAATATAACCACTTAAGTTGGGAAATAGGAACTGTGAGCTTGCAGGATATCGTGCTTGGGTTAAAGCCTTTAGTTTGGGCATGCTACAGCCTACAAGTGCAGTTTAATTATTAGAGATTGAAAATGGATTGGCCCCATGCCTGAGAATGTTGCATCCTTAAACATATTGTAGTTGATCAAAATAATGAATGAGATAAATATGAGTAGATTATAACAGATGTACTTTATAATCTTTCAGGGATAACTGATCATTATATTTATCATGTTCCTAATGAATATAAGAGCACTCGTATTCTCCATGGGAATTTTAATATGCCAAATAGTGAGAAGACATTTTTTTCTGACTGTAGGCCATTAGATTGCCACAAGACTGCATAGACAAAACAATATTAGCAAAATAACATTGATAAAGAGAAAATATTCCATCTATGCCTTCAATAAGAAAGAACAATAAAAGGGAATCCCTGATTTGCCAAGTTGGAAGCAGAGGTATTTTAGAGTCCTTTTAAACATGACTATGAGGTGTCGATTGGACACCATTCAAATTTCAGGAAAATTTGGCCCAAGATGAAAAATAGGACCAACTTGTTTCTGGGGATTCATCCAAATTATCCGTAAGTGGAGAGTTTATTACATTTTATTAACTGTTTACAATATTCTGTTAAATTAGGCCACTTAATTAKAACTTTCCAAAGATCAAATTGCTTTCTCGAACTAAAACATTTCTACTTCTGTCTATATATAAGAAGCGCCGATTAAAAATCCCAAATTACAAATGCATATTACACATCTCTAATTTTATGATGGAACAAATACTCCAATCTTTCACATTCCGCCTCTAATTCATAATCATGTCTATGCTGGATTCTTAACAAAACTTTGACATTTAAAGGCATTCCTTAAAAATATCCCATTTACTTCAGAGTTAAACCGATCTCGAGCTCGAATGGAGAATCTGAAATTAAAAAACAAAATCGAGGAGAGAAAGGCATCAGCATGTACCGTAGAAGCTAGTTTACGATCAGAACAGCATAACTCCAGTTGCCCATAATCCAATGCTTCCAGCAAATCTAGGGTTTCGACTTTCTTCTATATCATGGATAGAAGCATCTATGAACTTTAAAAAATCCTTCCGGCCAACGTTTTTAAGAGTRGGAAACAGTATTAAAAATGGAAGGAGAAAAGGGAAAAGTAAAACAATGGAGCTAAGCTCTATCGTTGTCGATGGATCTCACGTAGTATTCCAGAAGTCGCTTCGCCAATTCGTTCATCAAGACCGTTCAGTTGGTCCTGGTTGAAGGATARCTCTGATCTGTCCACATCCCAGCGTTGGCATTTCTTTGGTATGACCTTATCGGGCTATTTGAGAAGAGATGGCCCACTCAAGACTCAACCCGTTTTGCAAACATTAGGTTAGGATGCAACGTGCAACTTCCTCGAAGATTCACCTAACGGTTTAGGTGGTTGGTCCGACCCGAAATGTTGTATGTTGACGGTTGGGTTCAAACAGTTAACTGGGTAGTACATTATTAAGACAAAGAATAGAAAAATATATTTTTATAACATATAATATGAAAAAAAATATATTTTTTTATTTTATATATAATATAAGAATATATTATATGTTTTAAAAATATATCATATATATTTAAAAATATAAAAAATATATTTATTTTCAATCATTCAAATCGAACTTGAACCCATTAAATATTTTATTGAATCGAACTCAAATTCAATCTCGAACCTGATAGTATTTTAGTCAAGAAATACACATTTACACCCCTCACCAAATTTGATTCAATCATTCAATTACAAACGGACCGAATTGGGATAGCCCTTAGACAAATCGATCAGTATTTCAGTAAGCCCAGTGGCTAGTCAGCTCCATCCAAAGGCAGCTTTGTCAATATATTTGGGATGAGGACGGAGTAAGTGTATGTGTATCAGGCCAGAATGCCCATCTCTGTTGTATTTTTGTTCCGGAGCTGAGTTGTGTGACAACTGACATCTGAACTTTCGGAGACATTTCCCTACTATAAAATATAAAGCTCTCAATTTGCTAGACGGCAAACCCAAGAGTGTAGACAACAGATTCTTGTACTGGTTTGGATCGAAGTGGGAAAGTAAAGAATTGATATTAAATGAAATTGAACTCCAGAAAATTGAATTCAACCCATTTGAAATCATATCTGGAAATGGAATCCAATTTGACAAATTTTTAGGCTTAATTGATTAAACAAACATAAATCATAAATGTAGGTTGTGGCCCATTGGCCTCACTTGGATGAGTTCAGATATGCGCCCCACAACGTCCCACAACACATCCCTGCTGTGTGTTAGGAACATCTTTTGATGATGACAATTATTGGTTCTAGTACTATCATCGGAAAATGTTCTCAATACATGACGGGGTTGTGATGTGGGACATTGTGGGGCACCCCTTGTGGAGCGCAGATGTGAACTCTATATGGACAAGGTTCAAAATATCGATACACCCGATATGTCGATATGGGTGTATCAGACGAATCGATACCCCTTTTTTTACATTTTTTATTTTTTTAGAAACAGATTCAGGGGGGCCGATTCAGGTCTCCTCCACACCTTGAACTGGTCAAACCCCCGATACAACTACTATAAGGGCATATCGAAGGGGTTCTGGAACGATAGGTGTCAATACTTTGAACCTTACATATGGATAAGGTGAATCTCACGATGTTCTCAAGATGATAATGGCGTGGCGCATCTCATTGCTATGGATATGTACAACCCGTAGAAACCCTAAAAGCAAAGTAGCATCAAGTATATCACAATGAGTCCCAGAAAGTGTACTTGCACACATGCATATAACACGTGCTCTCACACTAATCTATATAAGAGGACTTACAAAAAGTAAATAAATGTCCGAGTGTAAACAGTGATTTTGTATATACAGCTCATCCACAAAACCACTATTTACATTCACATATTCTTTTTAATAAGAAGTTGATCTAAAACAGATTCTTCCAAATGAAAAATAGAAATTAAGACCCAAGTGACAACTTATGGTTATTGGTTAATGGTATCCAATCCTTCTTGTCAACAGGGTCTTTAGCATGAACTACGTTTTCATGTTAATTCTTTTTTTATCATTACAATGCTTTTATGTCATCCATTAAACCATTGACAAGCTTTAGGGTTTTGCATTTGCCTGAGCCTGAGCTCTGGAATCTTACAGACTTCTTATACACTCTTTAATTTTGCTCCTTTTTAGAAGAAGAAAGCATATATTCCTCTAGTGAAGCAGCCATTCTTGACCTAAGCGTGTTCTTAGGTTTACTTTTTATTGTTTGATAGTGGGTTAAGCAACATGGAAGATGATCATACTTTTTCTTGCCAAGTCCAAGACCATTAAGAGAGGTAACATACTAACATCATACTAACAAAGTTTGTAGCACCTGCACCATCCCCTATAGCCCCATCCCATCCGCCTTCTTGCTTCCACATAACTTATTACAAAGTGCATAGAAGACTATCTACAACACCGGTTAGGTAAAATGATCTGTTACAAAGTTGAAGGAACTAAAAAAACTAGGGGCAGATTGAAAAGGACTTAAGTAGAATAATAAGAAACGATTTAAGCTTCCACGATTTGATGATGGATAATTGGATATGGTACTGACCAGAATAAAATGGTGAAACAGGATTCATGTAATGGACCCCGTATAGTTAGGAAAAGACTTAGATGATGATGATGGTGGTGGTGGTGGTGGTGGTGGTGGACACGATAATATGTAGTTAAAAAAATTGTAGCATACACCTCAACTTTAAGTTCTCCATACATTCTATTGAATAAACAATATGGTATTCTTGGTCTAATCCCATGCAAATCCACTTCGCCTAAGCATGTCAGTAATAAAAGCATAATGTATCCTCCAGACTTTAAGATGATTCTTCAGTTTTTTGTAATGGAAATATGTCGAAATTTCATCTTCATTGCCTCAGTAACAGTACCATAAGCACAATTCGCTCCCATCCCTCATCTCTGTTATAGCCACTGTTAAGTAGTTCAACGAGGATGGAAGGCAATGCACAACCTTTTGTTTTACAATCCAGGTAGCTTCTTATTCTTACCCATGTTGAACAACCTGAATAAAAAACACCATAAAGTAAATAAACGAGAATGAATTCAAAGTCATCTACACATTAAAATAAAAAGGAGCAACCATATGGAAAAACCACATTACACCCATTTGGTTCTGGTCTGGTCTATTCCCATAGTCTGTTTGGTTCAGACATGAATCGGAATGGGAATTGGAATCATCAGCTGGAATGCAAGAATGGGATTTTCATTCCATGGAAGGGAGAGGGAATGGCCATTCCCTCAAATGGGGAAATGTCATTCCACCAGGAAAGGAAATGGGATTCTGATTCTGCCCAACCAAATAGTTGGAATCTGAATGAACCATTCCTATTCCATTTCCAGACCCCTATTCGTGCAAACCAAACAGGTCCCAAGTATTAACTTCAGTACAAGCTCATGTACCATGTTACTCAAAAACCTACCATAATAAGATGAATACAAAATATATGTCACCTCTACAATTAAGATGAATACAAAAATTACAATATGAAAATTCTACAACCAAAAAAAAATTGTTGGGAGATAGATGAAAAGAAAGCATAGAAAAATCAAAATATGGATCAAACAATTCCGCTACAATAAAAAGAGAAATAAATATCAAAATTCATTTTCATAGCCTTGTTGGCCTTGAAAAGTCTCAAACATCTCCATAGCTAATTTGTCTCGAAATTCTGCCCATTGACTTGTTGCTTGAACACATGCAATCTCATCGCCAGGTTCATCTGCATTTTTAGGAACCAGCTCAGCTTCTAACTCATGATCAATATCTTGTAATAATAGATCATCTGGCTGCTCATCTAGTATGAAATTATGAAGGATACAACAAGCACTAATGATCCTAATTTGAGTCTTCAAATCAAAGAAAGATGTTGTCTGCAATATACCCCACCGCCTTTTCAGAAGCTTAAATGTTCTTTCAATTACATTCATTGCAGTTGAGTGCCGAAGATTGAACAACTCTTTATAATTTGTAGGAACGTTTCCAGCCCATTCTTTCAAGTCATACCGTGTCCCTTGATAAGGAGCTAAAAATCCAGGCCCATTTGCATATATCACATCCGCAAGGAAATATTTATCTACAACATAAAATTAAAATCTAAGTAATTCAAATAGCCCTAGTGTTCACCAACTGCAATACTATTGGGAAAAACTTTTAACATACCAGATGGAACATGAAGGTGGTCGCGTCTTGTCAAGGCATCTTGTAATACTTGAGAGTCTGAAGCAGATCCCTCCCACCCAGGCAATACATACATGATCTTCATCTCTGGAGAACAAACTACCAAGACATTTGTGGAAATTTCACCTTTTTTATTCCTATATCTAGATCGGTCTTCCAAAGGAACATTTAATGGGATAAATGTCCTGCCCAATGCTCCAAGGCAACCCTAACAAATTGATAAATGGCAGTATAAGTTAATTGTAGATACACATCATTATACTTGGTATATATAGTTTGTAAATACCTCAAACCATTTCCATTTTTCAGCCTCCTGGCCTTGAAGTTTTGGTTCATACGATCTCAAAAAATCCTTGCTTAGTTTCATCACAGCTCGTAACACTCTATTGAATTGCCTGCTTATTGTTTCAACTGAACGACAATAAGTAACCTTAATCAACCTATACTTCAGATTTTGTGCAAGGATATGCAGGAACATTGCAACAGCTTCTTTTACTGGGACATTTTTTGTCTCAACCAATCCACCCTTTTCACATAAGATTGTACACAGCTTTAAGAAGCTTTGCTTTGAAATATGTAATTGCTCCATGCAATATGTTTCTGAAAATAAAGTCTCAAAAACAGACTGCCTTTCAACATTCTTTTCAGCCTTGTCAGCTGGCATTTCTTTCACAATAGACTTCCGATGGTACCATGCTGCCATTGTCGTTAGAAGCATAATGGAACTCACAAAGATTTTCTCATGCCTTTCCTCTTCTTCACAATCTTCCACCATTGCTCTCTTCTGGCATAGTGGCGATACAGATGAGTCCATCCTATTACCATCCATTTATAGTTAATGAAGCGAGAAATCCTTATATGTGACCATCTCGAGTATGGTATCTAGGAGCAATCACATTCCCATTCTAATTGTCCAGCTCATTGATAACATAAATATATTCATCCATACAAACAATATATATACAGGAAGTCCCATTCAAACTACAATCAAAATTCAAAAGTCACCCCTCAAAATATTCTTCATCTTTTAAGTAAACTTAAATCTTGTGTATTTACATAATAACAACTAGAACTGAAACACAAAAACACATAAAAGAGAAGTAAATATCGTCGTGATTGAATATGGGAAATTTGATCCATCCCATTTAATGAAGATCCATATGCCAAAGAGAATCAAATGGTAACGTTATCCATTACAATGTAAGTGCAAACAAAGTACCACATAACTCAAAAAGCAACTCAATACCAGTAGATTTATCAATGACTATTTACAAATGGAATTCTTTATCAGCTTTACAAATGGAATTTCTTATTTACAACTCAACAAGCCAAAACAGTATAGATTCTTAATGACTTTATAAAGAGATAATCCTTATAAAGCCATTGATGTTCTATAATTTTTCCTTCATTTATCATATTATTGCCCTTTGAAGGATCCACTTAACTCAAAAAGTAAAAGACCTAAACCACATTATCCCAGAAAAGGCAAATAACTCCAACCTATTTACAACTTAACAAGCCAAAACAGTTTAGATTCTTAATGACTTCATAAAGAGATAATCCTTATAAAGTCATTGCTGTTTTATAAAAAGTAAAAGACCTAAACCACATTATCCCAGAAAAGGCAAATAACTCCAACCTAACCAGAAGTTTTTCAAGCTTTCTGATTATCACTTGTCAATTCTTGTGCAATACAAGATTTCAGGAAGTTGAACATATTGATTCATAAATATCTTGTAAAACAACAACCAGATCCAATAACAAATTTATTAACAGAAAAAAAGTGTTACTAAACATAGGGTACCTTTTTTCTCAATATAAACAGAGTACTTTTTATCAATTTAAGTATGAAAAGCTGAAACCGAAAATTCAGAAGCCTGTAGAATACATTATAGGCTTATAGCACCATCCAAAACATACCATGGTTGCTGGCCTTCAAGGAACAATATTATTTTTGATAGGTAAAGATGATATTATCTAAATAAAAAGTAAAGGCAAGGGGCTCTGCTCCGGTAATATACAACTTATCACCATTTACTGATACAAACATAAATCACTAAAATGATCAGATAAATTTCTGAAGCTAAGGTCTTTTAAATCTGAAGATGGAGGGGCAAAAGTGATTTTTTTAAGAAGGTAAAGTAAAACTCCGCCTTTCCTATAACAAATGGCTCTGGATTTTCCTGCTGAATTATTATAAAGCTATGAACTAAAGATTTCAAAAAAATTGAATGCATCGGTTCATAAATGTTTCTCTTGCAAAAAAACAAATCCATGCTAATAAAATTATCAAAAAGAAGGTGCTAACTAACATTGACTGCTTCATGATCATTCAGAGCTGAGAATCAAAATGCAGCATCCCAACAATATGGTATAACACTATTCAGGACAGAACATGGTTGTTGGTCTTCAAATGATAATTTTTCCTCTTGATTACTTTGAGTGCAAAGAATAATAATAGTTATTTGACCAATGATACTCCTCAAATACCTACAATGTGTTTGGATTCTGCTGGAAATGGAATTGGAAGAGGGAACCAGGAAACCAATTCCACAAGATCCCAGATTCTGCCATTTGGATCTATTTCCAAAGTGAAGCAAAATTTGATTTAACAAGGAATTCAAGATTCCCAAGGGATAGGTATACGATGGAAACAAGGACTTTAAAGTAAGACAAGTTCTTCAAACATGGTAATTGAGGTAAGAAAAGGCAAAATATTATGAGACATTATACAGTGTGCAAATGAGTTTATCAAGGAGAGAAAGCTAATAAATTTCCATTGCTTTTCAATGTTAACCTTCACATGGCATGTCTGTTCTTCTAAGAGAATGTAATCAATATATAGATTTTGGTATTTTGTAAACAAGCTCCCATATAATTTCATACATTTATATTCAATATTGCATACACATGGCCAACCTTACATTGCACTATTGCAACCTTTGTTACAAGAAACCTTAAAACCCATACTTTTACATTATTATATCTGATTTTATCTTGATAATATCTAGATTAAAACCCACTAATTTTGTAAATGCATGCAGTGTCCGTAATAGGGACTATTACTTGGTGTAATGGTAAAATCTCAGGTTGTCAAGTGTGAGAATGCAGGTTCGAGTTTGAGAGCAACCACTTTGTGCAAAGCCAAAGGTTAGGATTGTATCCCAGTCCACCCCTCCCAAGACCCCAAATAACTGGGACCAACATTGGGCAATGGGATTGTTTATGCAGTGTCCATAATAAAAGCCACCAAGAAGAAATCAGAGACTACTCTGTAATACAGCTTCAATGCCAAAATATACCTAACCACCTAGACCCATGGAGGCATTGTTTGCATTACAAGCAAAGGCTCAAAACCCCATCTTCTTATTGCAATTTTAGATAATGAAATACTAGTAAACAATGACTCCATGCAGGCATTGTTTGCATTACAAGCAAAGGCTCAGAACCCCATCTTCTTATTGCAATTTTACATAGTGAAATATAGGGGTGTAAACGGATCGAATTTCGAATCAGGTAATATCCGAATGTGAATCTAATTAGAAAATCCGATATCCGAATTCGATTCGATATCCGATGGATATTGAAAATTAATATTCGAATTCGAATATGATTAAATATTCAATTCGATTTGAATTTGATTAATTAATTATTTTAGGTAATTAATAAATATATAAAATAAATATTTTATTTATATAAATATATAAATTATTTATATAATTTAATTATTATATATAAATTATATAAAACATTTAAATATTTTATATATTTTATATATTTTATATATTATATATAAGAATTAAATAATCGGTTGAATTTGGATATTTATCGAATCGAATCAGGTCATATCCGAATTCGAATCCGATTAACTAATTCGATATGAATAGGATATCCGAATTCAACCGATTAGATATTCGAATTATCCGAATTCAATTTGATTGTGTCGAATCTCGAATTCGAAATCGAATTTTCAATTACCGTTGACACCCCTGGTGAAATACTAGTAAACAATGATTTTGTGCACCTCTTTTTTTCTTTGCCTTAAAAACATGGTAGGACCCATGGAATATATACAAATTAGTATTGTAGTTGTCTTTTTATGGGGTCCCACCATGTTTATAGGGCAAAGCATCCAAGATTTGCATAAATTCATTTACCTTTTTCATCTATAGAACAAACTTGCCATTAATGATTAATCAATTTTGTTCAATATCTCACAGAATGCACCTCTGATTTTTTCCCAGCATTTCATTGCATAACTATATAAATAGACAAAATCATAGTAATTTTCAACATTAGTAACCACAGAAAAGGTCATGTGTGAACAAAAATAATTTGCTGAAGTTCCAATGTTCCGCAGTAACCATTCTCCCAAGTATTGTGTGGCATCCTGGAAAAAAAGAAAATGTTCGAAATCTAAACAATACGATCAACATGGTATTTGATGGGGAATAAATAAAATAATATAGAAGGTTAAAAAGGGAAATCAAGAAAATCAAAAGAATTTTGAATTTTGATCTGAAGTTTTTATTGTTTTCTTGTGTCTTGATCTACAGGTTTCTTCTTTTTTTCTTGGTCAGTGAGCTTTTTGTCTTGCAGTAGAAATTCGTTAGAGAGTCCAACATAAGCGCATAATGGGATTCATTGTAAAATACTGCAATTATTAAAAAAATTAGCTATTTTTCTTAATTATCTGATGTACTATACTCATCGAGTAGCATGCATACCATTTGATTTTGATTTTGTTTATGCATCATGGAAATTTCTAACACAAAATAAAATGGAAAAGCCGTTATAGAAGGCTCATAATATGAAACAATTCATGCACAAAACTTGGCACGAGCTCATAGGTAAACCTATTACAAATAAAATTGTACAATGCAACAACGCAAAGACAGCAGTTAATCAAATACAGTCTTAGATACGAGTTCAGCTAGCAACAAAGAAATGCCAAGAAACATAGCATCRATGGTTACTTTAATTAGTAAACTCAGTAATTAAACCACGAACTGAAACACGGAAGAAAAAAGTAAGAAAATAGAGCATCTTACGTCGACCCATATTGGCTAGATGAAAGGAACAAAAAAGAGGAATAGAAAAGAAAGGGGTAGGAGAAAAAGCAGACTAAATTAAAGCCGAAAAGATTTGGCATTGCCACACGTACATATAATATAAGCACACACAGAAAGGGGAGATAGAGAAAGAGGTCTCACTGGACAATGAAGCCCGACGGGGATGGAATGCCTGAGGTTTAGTTGGTATTCTAGTTGGCTGGACTCTGATAAATATAAACGGGGAAATGAAAAGAAAGAGAGAAATTTCCTATTAGAAAATATAAATAAATATATTGCGCTCTCGGTGGCCGGTAATCGGAGAACAGAGAGATAGGATAGGAGGTGGAAGGAGCGATCTCCAATTTCAACAACACCGGATGGAAAASCGGGGAGAAGGGAAAAGGAAATCAGTTCAACTATGGCCGTTGTAGTCAGCGGAATTTGAGAGTGGAAATGGGGAAATGGGAGAAGTCTAACAATTTCAAGGCTGAAGGAAGAATTGGGGTCGAATTCATTTATGATTTTTCTGCCCCTCGTCTAAAGGCCCAAACGGAGGAATCASGAAACTTGTTTGGGTATCGGATTCGGGGCATTAATTCCGCTTTCCACTCACTTTTATGGAAGTATTTTTAGGAAATCATTTTTATGAAATTATTTTTATAAAAGCACTTTTATGAAAGTATTTTTAGAAAATAATTTTGTAAAAGTACTTTTATAAAATCACTTTTACGAAAGTATTTTTGTAAAACATCTATGTCAATTGGTAAACATTGACTATTGGAGACTTAGGCCGGCAGTTTGTGAATACCTGCACTTTTTTTTTTTGAATAATGAAAATGAACAATATATGACATTTGTCGGTCTGAAAAGAATTTATTTTTAGGAAAAAAGTGTTAGGTCCATATCAATATGGCCTATTTTTACCCATTCTTTTCCATTTTAGAATGAGAATTGAACCAAATATGGCGTAATATTTCCAACATTTTCCTTTACTTTCTCCCAAAAATACCGGAAGAACTTTGGCCAATGAAAGCACCCTGAATTTTAATGAATACCACTGATGGTCATCTTTTTTTATTATACCTATTAGGGGTGAGCATGGGTCGGTTTGATTTGGTTCTATGGTAGTATAGGGTTGGTTCCAAGTTTTTGGAATTAGAACCTACCTATGGAATATGTTATTTCTTTATTCTTCTCCTTAAAAAAAATGAAGCATGTCATTTAAAAACTTAATTTTCAATAATGATAATATATAGTATAAAATTTATAGACCAAATTTCTTAAACTACCCCCATTGTTAAGCTAATTAACTAACTATATATCCTTATTGTTTAACCATTATCTTGCACCACCCCTACTATTTTTCATAATTGACATCATCATCAAGTGATAACRGAAAAAATGGATATATCAAATTTGCCCTCTATTACTCCTCATATTTTCAAAATAAAACCCAACTGCACTAGCCAATCAATTCAAGTCTCATAAATAGAGTACTAGATTTTTGTTGACAATTCAAGATGATGATAAAAAAGAAGGATGGTTCTTGTCTATAGCTCCATCTCTCTTCTTCGTCTCTGCATCTATACTTGTTCATTGTAGCTCTGCAAATATATTTTATGAGAAAGGAAGACAGAGGGCTTTGTTTATTATCTAGTTCACACTTCACAATTCTCTTTTTATTTATTTATTTTTGTTTTTTCAGGTTTTGCCTGCAACTATATTCCAATGATAATATTCAGTTATGTACCGATAGCTCATTTTATCTAGCCACGAGAGAATAGGGGATGATCTCAGGAAAACCTTTCTTTATGCAATTGCATTAGGAATCAGAGATAGGTTCATCTACCTTTGACAATTTGCGAAGCTCTTAAAGAATTGGGGATGATTTGAGTATCACTCATATTTCAGATTTGGTTCCTTGTATATTTGAGAGATATTCAGCTTTGATTGCCTCAAATCCATATACCCATATCAAAATTTAGAAAAGGGGAAAACAAAAAAAAGTGTAAATTACAAAGACCCCCTTCTGTTAGCCTTCCATCCAAAAAATGAGAAGTCCGTCGTTGCAATATTTTTTTAATCCCCATACTACCCTTGTAATAACTATTCGGACAATTGGGAGAAAACACTATTCATCTTATCTGACCTCACGATACACGAACAGCAATAGCGGTAATCCCCTCAACCTCAGATTCCTTCACATTTCTCTCTCTCTCCCCCGATCTCTCTTCTTCCCATTCCCCTTTCTCTCCTCCTCTTTCTTCTTCCTGCTTTTCGTTCCTCTTGGCCATAGCCCCCACAACTCGTTGCAGGACTAATTCGAGCATACCCCCTCTTATGGACTATTCTCTCCCTCTGTTCCTTCTTCTTCCTCTTTCTTTTTTTTCTTCATTTTCTTCTTCCCCTTCTTCTTGTCCATGACATTAGAAATCATCGACTACCCCTGTTTTGGGAAGCTTCCATTCATGACATTGTTGAAAATGTCAAGGTACTACAACCAGCAAAGATGCTCCGTGAAATGTTGCAACTTGACAAGTCGAGATGTGTCAAGCTTCGCAAGGTTCTCCATCCTAGAAGGTAAAACTCTCAGATCGTTGTGCGGGAGGTTGAGTACTTGGAGGTTCGAGAATCCWAACAGATGGACCAAGTTGGTGAACCTATTGTGCGAGAGATTAAGCTTCTGAATCGATGACAATGACGAAACTAAACTGGTTTTCAAGGTGGGGCGGAGACCAACATTTCCTCCAAGACGATTCATGGTGAGATTGACTTCGACGAGGCTTGGCATCGACCAAAACCAACATGGAATAGACCATTGTAGTTTATTGTAGGATAGATCCATATACTGTAACTTGGATAGATTTCAAAGAAAATTCCATGAAACGAGTCCACTTAGATTTCTTCCCGAAAGCTTTATTTCCCTAACTAGAGGATTCGAGCAGTTCCCATCKCTAAATTCGAAAAGCGACAAGTCAAATCCAATGACGAAGTGAAAGGCTCGGGAGATTAATTCCCGGTCTATAGTATTACAACTAGATTCCACAAAAGCAATAAGAGACAAAATGAGCGCAACCTTGCAAAGAACTCCATTATAGAACCCAGCCTTYTGTTTCCCATAATCTTTTCAGGTTTCAACCTCCATGTACTTGTAGAGAAAGAGAACAAGTTTCGATGATCGGAGCTTGTGACCAAGGTTTGGTGAGAAGAAACAATTTGCATACAAAGATTCTATTAGATAATTATGCCCTTAGCTCCAATAAGATTGATGTACTTTTTTGACATTTATTGTAAATGAATAAAGTACATAATTGATTCATGTTATTGTGGTGTTTTTCTGTATAATACCCTTAAACTGGACACTTAATGAGACTCGTGTTACTTTAAAATCTTCACAGTCGTTGGATAGATCTGAGGAGATTTATCCTGCCAAGGCTAACACTGATGTGTCGCCAAGTTGGTTATGGTGGCTTGTCTCAGCTGCCAGGGTGAGACCTGAGGTATATGCAGTGTGGGTTTTCTTGAAACCCTGAGCCTGACCAAAA